ATATGGCAACTTCGAGACTGAACCCACCAACCACAATCCTTAAGTCCAACTTTAGGCTTTGAAATTCTCATTATACAATCAATGTGCAGATATTCTCAAAATATTACACATTATTACAGTCTGTATATATGTAAAAAAACAGCGCTTCCCACATGATTAGTTTAGTTTAGCTGCTAATGCAGGTTTAAGCAATTTAATATTAGAAACTGTTTTCGAGGTAGACCACTGATGGGCAAGTCACCAAGTCCCACATGCAAGTCACGGGGTGACTTGTGTGTACGCGCAATCTCTACCATCCTAGAGTCCGAAGCGATGTGACACACTCAAAATTCTTCCAAAGCTCGCTCGCTCGCCCGCCCTCCATCAGGCAAGCATTGCGAGCTACGATGTAGATTCAGCAGTGATTGCCGATTGCCAAAGTATCAATCAAATATGATGGATACGGTACGTTTACCCAGGCGAGAGAGTCTCAGCGGATACAAAATATGCAAAGAGAGAGGAGTGTATGTACATCCATTGGGAGGCAGGTACATATCTGATATGATGACCTGGCAAGTTTACATGTTACATGAACTCTGCAGAACAGCTCATGATGCTTCTGATGATTTTCATCTAGCGAGCCTAGGCACTGCAAAAGGAAGATGATGATAAGGGCAGGTTGACATTCAAAGAAATGACACTCAAAGTTCTTGTCACATAGCAACAACCGGGTATGGTAGACCTGCGATCTGATCGGCTTCCACAGAGTATGACAAATTCAATCTCTGAGTCCCGTGAGGTTCTTCGTGAATATTTTATTGGGTTTGATTCTTCCCTTCCTTGCACTGTCAGCTCATAAGAAAGCTGAATTGAAATCCCATCTACCCTCTTTACGCCCCCGCGAGAGTAGATGCACAGCAGGAACGCATACGAAACCTCAACTCTGACTCTTATTTTCACGACTCTAGTTCTCCCGGTTGATTATTATTACTTCCAAACCCGAGGTTTTCAATCATTCACACTTTTTTTCATGTGGCCAATTAATAAAGCAAAAAGGATGTGAAGCCTCAGTCACGGAGTATATAGATGAAACCAAATGGGTAACCTTTGGCTAGCCCCAATGCCAAATTGAAAAATATGTCATTCACATCCCACGCATCCAACCATCTAGGTTTACAGGTCTACAAACAAATAGTGCATTTTAGAAATCATCACCTGTCATGGTTGTAGGGTTGTTTTAATGTGGAAAGGAAAGCCAAAAGAAGAAGCCTCAAGTAGTAGATTTGACTGTACAGCACTAGCTAATACTCTGTGTCGAGATAAAAAATTCAAATTTAAAAAAATAAATCACACAGTGAATGTATTAATTAAATTGATATCCTCTGCCATGTTATCTTGTAACTTCCGACACACTCTTTCGCCAACATTTCGAAATTTGAATACATAACTTCAAATCACTCCAAGGATAAAGTAATAAGGAGTATATCTCTCTCTCTCTCTCTCTCTCCATATTTCGACACTTATTAATCTTGGCTTCCATAAGAAGATTGATTAACAACAGTCCAAATTTATATCAAGATTAGGATCAATAATCATCCTGTTTGACTGATTGTAGGAATAAACCTTCTTTGCATTTCACACTTTGAACTCTTCTATGTCCTCCACATAGAAGAGTGGCTATATGGCTTTACATAGTTGTCACGGAACGATGTATAACTCAACTTGTTCGTGCTAGGACTCATAGACTGATACGCAAAGTGAGGTAGCTTGACGACCAGAGAGCAACGTATATGCATATCACTTGAAGGAGGGGGTTGGTGTGTGTCTACAATGTGACCATGAACTGCGAAGAATCCTTTGTCTCATAGCCAGACCCATCATGCACATGGCCTTGGCAAGTATTGGAAGATACTCATGGAAACTTTACCAACGAGCAAAAGGCCGTTCTGACTTGAAGGCATGGTCATTCAAGCCGGGTCCTTTTTGCTATTCTACTTTGTTTTTTTATTTATCTTTATTCTATAGCTTTCTTCCGAACTTATAAGCATGATAATAACTCCAACAAAAGGGGGAAATTTGTTAAAGGGTGCAATTCCATCTTTTGTGAATGCACACATCAATTCTGCAATTCTGCGACTGTTCTGTTCCACAATTGTGAGTAGTTTCAGGGAAAGGAAATCCTACAGCAAGGAGATTGGAGTCCTCGTGAAACACCCTCACAACACATGCTAAATAACTAGATAGTTGACCTTTAAAAATATTTTATCATTGTTAACATAAAGAAAATCAAAATACAGCTGAGAATTACTTTTGCATAAGAGGAGTTTTTGCAATGAATTCTGAATTGGTGACTATGGATATACTTTAAATTCGTTATAATATATCAAGGCTTCGGATGAATCTTTTGAAAATTTAAACATTTAAAAATGCAGTTCTAATTTAAGTATCAGGAATTGAGATTTTACTAATTAAAGTAAAAATAACACTTTATCGAAAATGATTAAAGATTCTCTCGCATGAGTCTTGTGACGAGATAACGACGCAATATTTAATTTAAAGTTCTAAACATGATGTAAACATCTTTATCGGTTGTCACCCCAGAACCTCCATAATAAGATAATAATGTGGAAAATCCATAAACAATAGTTTCGCTTCTTTCAAAATGATCAATGAAATATAAAACCAAGATTCAAGAAGTTCAAAGTGTGGTCTTTTGAAATTACAAGATTCTATATTTTCACATTTATTGGATAGGCTGAAGAAAACCCACCTTGCATGCTACTCATTTCACATGTCTATAAGCTTGACATGTATAGCGAATGTGATTCGATAAACATGTCAGAATATCAACCACACGTAGTTTAAGTGCATGAGATTAGTTCCAGAGTCGCATGTCGACGAAATTCCTAGATGACTAGCACAATGAACTCGTAAGAAAGGTCGAGCCTGAGGGAGACAATGCCAAACGGCGGTGAAGGGGATGAGATGGAGATTTAAATTTAGGCCTGCGTCTGAACGGGTGTCGGTCTAGATGCCTGCCCGGCCAGAAGACGTACGCTTCGTGCCCGTACATCTTTCCTCGGACTTTACTAAATATATCGACGGGGTACGGAAGCAGAAAATAGTTTCCGACAAGAAGAAACGACTTGCGAACGGAAGAAGGCTCGTTCTCTTTCTTCTCGGGCCGGAGTTCTCACCCGTCGCCGTCCATCGCCTTTCCAGTCAAGGCGTGTTGCATTGGCACAGCCAACAAAAGCCAGAAACCCTCTTCCTGGTTTGGTCGAGACGGGTCGGTTTCGCTGGTGGTCCCCTCCCTGCTTACAGCAATCCTCGTTATAATCACACTTATAATCCTGCTAATAATTTATTATTTCCTGTGAAATTTTACCGTGTCCTTCATCTCACATCGTTTCAAAACAGGTTCAGTGAGATGAGGAGTGAAATGATTTGATCGGTCAAATGTTCTACAATGAAAGAGTTGTCAACGTACTGTTGGAAGAACATTCCGACTTTGCTCAAGTTGTGATTTTTATAACTGAATGACGAACTATATTATTGTATGGGTGGAGAAGATACTTGACATAGAAGAAACATGATTTTATTCCTCGTGGTTGGGAATTTTTGGCTCGATGTGATTTATATGACGAGATTCTATTAGAAGAAACATATTCAGCACTCGAACAATGACCGTCGAGAAGAGACACCGAAGCGGGCAACCAATTTTGGGAAGACTAAGGGAAGATTAGTAGGCCGGGCTAAGGCATATAATATGAATATATCGTCGGTTCAATTCGTTCCGCTTATCTCTTTCGCAGCACGCGAGGGGTTTTCGAAAGGGCAGACAGTTTCCCTCGCAGGGGGTCAGAGGCATAGTGTGCCACACTGTTGAGTGCTCGACCGACCGAACTTTCAAGAATTTTTCTTTCTTTTATTCTTTGGTTTCAGGTTTCCCATTACTTTCTCCTATTTCACGTCTCTGACGTCTTGGAACCCCATCGCTCGATGAGGCAAACTCGAAGGACCGAGAGAGGAGTTGTGATATATCGGAGCGGCTGTGGCTCTTGAATTTTATCTGCACGAGACGACGAAGTTTGGCATAAATCTTCCAGCTCACTGAAAATTGAGAGGGAATTTAGAGTAGTGACCCCTGACCTTTTTTTAGATGCAATACCAGGTTTGTACATGAATGTGTCGAGGCACACTTGAATGTGCAGTGGCCGATCGCAGTAGTAATAATTCATGATCGTAATCCCCACAAAAAGTGACAAAGTGTACAAGTAAAACTGGATGCGGAATTACAACCCAATAATAATACACTTGACTACTCGTTCCTGGTTATCTCGGAAGGTAAAATAAAACACAGTAAAAGGTCCCAGATTCCACTCATATAGAAGATTTGGGAACAGAGATTTCTAACAGCACGAAAGTCGCGCCGGTGCATCTGGCGCCAAAACGAAACTGCAAAAGTCAGTTGGTTCATCACGATTCAACCAAATCAAATCATTCACATTGATACAATCAATACTAAAATGTGATTGTGTCAATTTATTTATGCAGAGCCCGGTATTAATCTTCAATGTCCGTCGACATTCTTTGTGGATCCACCAGCCTACGTGAATGTACTTCTCCACTCGAGAACAGTTGGCCGCTCCGTATGTCTTGTCATTATACACCAGTCCCTCGATGGTTCCCGGTCCTTTTTCTCCTATGCTGAGTAAAAGAGTGACCGTGATTACCGATGTTTTCTGAATGGGAAAGTGAATGAGAGAATATTTTTCCCAGTAGCGTGTACCCATGAACATGAGTGCAAGAAATGCACATCTCCAGTGCTAGCGCCTCCAATTCCACACATGGATCTCCGTGACCACACCAGTGTAGACAGTAATGACAATCTGAGACGGAGGTTGATCTTTTCGCCGGGCCATGAAGTCCAGGTTACTACTACTGCTGCTGCCATGGTTCGATCACAAACCATTCGGACATCAACACTTTGCAGGACGTGACGACCAAAGATATGAAAACAAGTAGTGTCCAAAAGAGCCATGAACGTATGTATCTCTGCCGCGCGGCATTACACGACTTTGTGGGAGAATCTGATTAAATTAGCATCCTCGTGGTCGCAGCATGCTGCGAACATGTTCGTTTGCTCTCTTGTTTCTTTTGGACGAGAACTCCGTCCATATTCTTTCCATCCCTGCTGCAGCTCCTACTACTGGGCTGGGCCTTCATGATGCACTATTAGGGATTGTAGACTTGCAGAATGAGGTCCCATGAACGCATGCCACTCGATGGTGCCAGCCGGTGCAATGTTCTCGAGACACCTCGGTTGGGGAAAGTACGTCGGCGAATCCAGGAGGCCAAGGGATTGCGAGAACGTGAAGGACCCTCTCGAGTCGGAATGAGAACAGTAGTGTCCGAGTTTCGACGACTGGGGGACTAATGGGGGTGGAGTGTTGAGGCACTCTACTTCCGTAACCCTTTCATGCAAATGTTCTCCGCAACAGCAGCTCTCTTCATCACTCCGTCGGAGTGGAAGACTAGCCAGAATTGGACACCAAATGAGGAGGATATTTGCACTTTACCTCGACATTTGACATGTGGCCAATGGGCGGAAACTCGTGTACTCCCATGTCCAACATAACGTGAGTATTTCTTCTGCAGGTCCGGTTGTGCACCCATGAGGAGACAACGACATCTGCGGCAGATCGAGGTTGCAACTTCATCGTCAGATCTTTTCGTTCGGGACACTTGTTGTTTCGTCGTACGAGACATCGACTCGATGATGATGGGTCATGGTTTCCGAGTGACAAGATCCAAAAGATGGTAAGAACATTAGCGACCTCGGAAGATTTGGTTCCTCCTTAAGACCGTGCCACTTGTTGGCTGCCCATGAGGCCGCTAGATCGTGTTTTTGTCAACAACGGGGAATGTTGAGCGGACATTATCCGATGATTCCTTGGCGCCCGTTGTCTTCCACCCATATTTTACCATGCCACGAACGCGCATGCTGGTTTCCGGGTCGTCCATATCCGGTTCCAACGTTCTTGCCCAATTCATCGATTTGTTGTTGAGCTCCCTCGGGTCAACTGCTGCTGCTCGTCTCCTCTCGGAGGAGCTCCTGCAGCAGAGGGGGAGGGGGGACGCTTTCCTCACCAACAGTGGCATGGTTGTCGACATGTACCCACTTGTCGTACGTTGGCATCGCTGGTGGCAAACTGATGAAAGACTACAATGTACACATTGTTTCCAGGAGTGTAGGGAGACGATCACCTGCAATTTGCATCTTTAAGTCTGGTGCCAGACGTAGCCAGCCAGCCACACATGTCATAGCCTGTGTGGTACGAGCAGAGAGAGTGGCAAAAGCTCAAAGCTGCAACTAGTTTCTCATCTGGTGCCGTGAGCACTCTCCGCATGGGCATGTAGCATTACGACATTCAGCCAAGCCTGCTGCACAATGAGCAAATGATATTAGTGAGCCCCCTTGTCTAGAACGACCAGCTTTCTTAATGTGAAAGTGGATGCTCAGCTTTAACAAGTCCTATGTAACACACCATATCTGAGCGCCATATTCAAGCGCCTTAAAGTTGCAGGGACCTTTACTTTCTGACTTGGATCAACACTGATTGAAGGTTGGGGTGTGGATCTTCATTTCCAGACAAACACGTGACCTCCAAGTAACAATTACACATCTTATGTAATCGACACATTCATTCGGAATTTACCTTACCCTTGATGCCTTTGCGGTTAGGGTTTTCGTGCTTGTTAAGGTATGAGCATCTCATATGGAAATAGCATTCATTATGTGTTCAGAATTGATGGTTATCCGTTTCATAGATTTTTCATTTTCATAAATAGGCAGTTGTTGAGGTGGCAAGTCTCTAACCATATGGGTACGTACAATGGTTGATTCTAAATTTTACGCTAACTTTGCGTTTGTGTGAAAAAATACGGCAATGCATCATTCATAATCTAATCCATTGAAAACAACATGTTTTGAATATTCTATATGGAACATTGTAAATAATATTCTATATAAGAGATCATATTAGTTTATGTCTATCATATTAGAATTCTCATGTTTTCAGTGGACAATCTTAACTGCATCATTACAATCTTCTCATTGTCAGGTTACTGTAACCTAGTCTCATGTTCATCCATCATTTCGTTGCCATGCTCTTTGAAAAATCCAAGTCGCTTACATATGCACAATATGTGCGACATGTTGTTTTTTTAATGTCTTTAATTATATATTAATTAGAACTAGTAAATTTGTATGTACACAATGAGTTATTATACAGCATCGTCACAATTAAATTTTCAAATCATATATTTAAGGCAATGATAAAGAAATGTATTTTAAATAGATAATTTGCATTAAACCATGAACTTTCTGTAACAGATATTTATATGAAAAGATATCTTATGAAATTTAAATTTAAATTCTTAATTTTTTTAATTTAATACAAATTGATCATTCATATAAATGTTTCTTCAATAAATCTTCAATAAATTTTGAAAATATTTATTCAAAACATAAAATAGTTTCACAACATTTTGGTGTACATTTTAATACTTAAGTACATGCCTTTCACATGTCGTGCGAATACATATCGCCATACACTCCACATCGCTGACATGCTACTCACATACACATACGCACACACATACACACATATAAGGCGCGAGAGAGTACACACTCAAATGTCACAACTGAAATAGACGGGAGATTCCCCACTGGAATTCCCGTCGGTCAATTACCCTACTGGCAACAAACCGTCACCGTCACAAACATGAGTCAAGCCCAACCCACTCCACACTCGGAGAATCCAGGTCGACGCAAAGGGGAAAGTCACTCTACGCTCCCAACGCTTCCAGGCTCGACTCGAAGAACTGACGTTCTTCGAGCCGTCCCCGACTGTATACCCCCCGTGACCGGAACCCTAACTTTACGGCTAAATATAGTAAGTGTCTGAACTTCGTGAGTCGACTCGTAACTACATGACAGCTGTCGTGCGAATACATATCGCCATACACTCCACATCGCTGACATGCTACTCACATACACATACGCACACACATACACACATATAAGGCGCGAGAGAGTACACACTCAAATGTCACAACTCGCCCCCCTAGCTGGCGGTCAGGTCCCTCTGACTCCCAGGTAGCCCCATCTACAACTACATGCTATACACCTTCGTGGGTGCGCGAACCAGTAGGCCGGGTGCTATGTCGCCCCATCGTTAGTCGCCTATCTGCAATTCATAACATGTGAAGATCAAGTCATCTACCCCTATGAAGTACATCGAGGACAAACCCATCGTCCAGCCGGAATAACATCGATAGGCGGAGTTAGGCACGACATGTGCCATCCCCTAGAACACCTATCACACACCAACATACGGGCCGCCTTACCAGCTGACCCACACAGCATGCACCTCAAGCCAGCACGTACTACTGCTAAGCTTGGGTCCATAGTGCCATCTACGTTTGGGAGGTGGCATGGCGCACAATTGCGCACATGATCCTTCCAAACAACGCCGTCACGACCCTCCAACAGGAGAACTCCAGAAGGTAACACCTCCCGCACCCGCAAGATGGTGCGTCCCGCCGTCACATCCAATGTCGTCGGTGCAGTCTGTTGTAGATAGACGTAGTCTCCCACATGGAATCTACGAATTGATGGTCGATAACCTCCTCCCCGAATGGTTGCATACCGCAACGTATCTCTATGTTGAGCAATCGCAAGATTCTCAAACGCTGCAGGCATAACTCTTCGAAAGAGCTCTGCACGTTGAGAACATACTCTCACCCACATATTCGGGTCATCAAGGTTCACCACCTCGCTAGACTCACGACGAATCGATGTTGGCAAGTCTGGATCTCGGCCGTACAATAGAAAATATGGTGAGAAGGAAGCCAAGGATGCCTGCCGACTGAACCGATATCCCATGGCCAACCACGGTAACTGGATATCCCAGTCCCCAAGATGACCTTTCTGCAGGCCATACTTGCGCAACGCCCTCTTCACCGTCTGTACAACACGTTCAGCTAAACCATCCGCCTCTGGATGATCTCGCGACGTGGTCCGATGATCAATCAGTGCCTTGTCGCACAAGACCTGAAACTCACCCTGAAACTCCGTTCCCTGATCGGTCAACACCTCAGCTGGTGCACCATAGTGACTAAGCACTCTGTCAAGAAAAGCATACGCTACTCCCTCACTTGCCTTGTCAGGTAATGCCACCAACTCAATCCACTTGGAGAAATGCTCCACCATCACCAACACATATCGATGATGTCGTACAGTCAAAGGTAGTGGTCCAGCAAAGTCCAAACTCCAACGGTAACCCAACCCCATGATGGGTAATGGATGTAACACTGGTGTCGGGGCATTGAATGATGCCCTCACTCGATCACAAACCATGCAACGTGATACCAACTGCTGTACCTGAGTATGCATACCACGCCACCAATACTGACCAAGGAGTAAGCTGTATGTACGCTTCACTCCAAAATGTCCCAACTCCTCATGAGCATGCCTCACAATGCGTGCTCTCTGGGCTGGATGTGGTACTACTCGTACCCTACCGTCCTCCCATACTCGGAGAACATGTGATCCCTCCAATCGGTACCTCTTGGCCCGTTGGAGAACACGATCTTGCTCCTTGGCACCCACTGTGCCTGGCACCATGCTGGTCCGTAGGAACTCCAACACCAATGCATCATCGTGTACATCACGCTGATCCACACCACCATCCTCAACCTCAGGATCTGGAGATCGACCATCTACTCTCTGACTAGAGTAAGATGTCAGATGATCCTCTGTGCTGGAGTTCCCACGTAACCAACACATGAAGGCAGATGCATGCCAACCAGGCACCATCTCCTCGTCAACCTCACCATGCCATCTAGCTCCAGTGTCATCCTCCTGGCTAGTGCATGGGTTTCGACTCAAACCATCGGCATCTAGGTTCGCAACTCCAGGTCTATGCACCACCTGAAAGTCGTACTCCTGTAAGATGAGAGCCCACCGTGCAAGCTTCCCTGTAAGCTTGTCGGACTCCATCAACCACTTGAGCGGTTGATGATCAGTAACAAGGGTGAACTGCGTACCAAACAAGTAACACCTGAAGTGCGCCACAGCCCACACCGCTGCCAAGCACTCTCCCTCGTACGAACTATACCGCGACTCCGCTGCATTGTTCGAACGACTAGCGTACGCAACCACAAACTCCTTGCCCTCATCATCACGCTGCGTCAACACCGCTCCAAGTCCCAACATACTCCAATCAGTGTGCAATTGGTATGGACGACCTCTGATAGGTCTCCTCAAGATGGGAGCGGCCACCAACCTGGCCTTGAGCTCAACAAAAGCTCTCTCCTGCTCATCTCCCCATTGCCACTCCTGATCTGACTTCAGCAACTGGTTCAAAGGCTTGGCTATAGCACTGAACCCCTTCACATACCTCCGATAGTAGTTCGCTAAACCCATAAATGCACGAACTCTACTCACATCCGTGGGACGAGGGATGCGTGCAATAGCCTCCACCTTTGCTTGCTGAACTCCTAAACCACCTGGGTATATCACATGACCCAAGTACTCAACCTTCTCCTGGAAGAACTTACACTTCCCAGGATGTAACCTCAAACCATGAGCCCTCAATCGCTCAAACACAATCTGCAAGTGTATCTGGTGTTGCTCCACAGTGTCACTAAACACCAAGATATCATCAATGTAACATCTGACAAAATCCAGCCCCGCCAGGATTCTGTCCATAACCCTCTGAAACTCGGCAGGTGCATTCTTCAACCCAAAGGGTAAGAATCGCCACTGATACAAACAATCCTTGCCGTGGGAGTTGACGCCCCAAAACGCTGTCTTGGTTTTGTCCTCCTCCCGAATTGGCAACTGATGGTATCCTGCCCGAAGATTCAAAGTACTAAAAATCCTCGCATGTCCCACCACATCGAAGATCTCCTCAGGTGTAGGCATGGCATACTTATCGGACTTCGTCTGCCGATTGATAGGACGGTAGTCTCCACACATGCGCCTATCCGTGTAGTTGCCATGTACATCCTTCTTCACCGGCATGACAGTGGCTGACGCATACTCACCATGCGATAACTCCACTAGTCCAGCCTCCAGTAGGTCCAACGTCCTACTCCGAATCAAATCTCTCTCCATCTCACTGTATCGATAAGGACGACGGAAGATTGGCGTATCACTAGCCAATTCTATCCGTATACCGGGTCCAATCAACGCACCCAACTCCTTCATACTGAAAGCAAAACAACTCCTATAGTCTCGTAGGAATTGTGTCAATCGTCGCCTCTCTCCTCCTGTGATCTGGGAACCAATCAATGGCTCCCACTCCTCCTCCATAGGCACACTAGAGGGAGGCGACACTGTCAATGGTTGCTACGCTACACACTGCAAAGAAGGGTTCTCCGTACCCTTCTTCGTAGCCACCTCCACGTGAGAATCCTCTCCAACTGCATGGGCTGCAACTCTGGCAAGTCCTTTCGTCACGTCCCATAAACTCCAAGGATGACAAATATCTCGCCTGTCGCCCCCAGCCATTGCTACTACCGTCCCGGTAGGCCATGAGCTAATAAGTGGTGTTACAACCACCAAATCTGCGCGCAAACGGCGTTGCTCGGCCAAACCCAAGCTCACAATCCACGTCAAGCAGTTCAGGTCCATAGCCTGACCCAAAACCTGACGACGC